TTCCCACCGTCACCCATACTTGGTCATAGGGAGTCATCACATCATTGGGTTTCTCTCTTGTCTTTCTTTTTACCTTACAATATCAAGCATCTTGATATCATGTTGTGAACTGGCTGCTATATAAATAATAGTGATTTGAATTGAAAAACAAGTATCCATGTTTCATTGATGATCCTGAAAGGCTCAGGGCTCAAGGGCCATAACCACAAATTCAGAACAGGTGTAATTTCTTGTTGGAAAAAATATTTGGGGAGTATTTTTGCCTTCATTCACTGATTGCAGCAACAGACAGAGATGTGTGAAAGACTCAAAGCTCCAGTCCTGTGCTGATTCCACTTTGAGTTGTTTATATTTTTCCAAAACTGCTGAATAGTCCAGACTACAAGAACGCTAGTAAAGCATGTCTGAAAGCCACGTAGCAGGCGTTAGGAAATAGAACCTGAATATTTGTAAATGTGAAAGCTAAAGCTGAACTATCAGAGACACTGACAGGCAACCACGACAGCTGTCTGCTGTGTGGACTGTTGATTCCTTTCAGCAGACCCAAATGCAGGAAATGGGAATTAAGCTCAAAGCGTTAAATGCTGTTAGTGCAGCAATTACATGATGTCTGAAAATCCCAAAACATTTCAGGACCAAAGCTGCCAGGGAATCTGAAGATCAGATGTCAACAGGAATACAAATTCAGGAAGCACAGAGAACGTGGAAGCACAAGGAGACACACGATGGACGACACAACCAGGACAACATAGACGAGAGATAATGAGCAAATGGGAAACAGGTGGGGAACACAGCTGAAGATAATTAAGATAATGACACGAGGGAAGTTAAACTCAACACAGGACACAGGAAAAACGCTACTAAAATAAAACAGGAAGTAAGACGCAACTTAACATGGGAAAGAAATTAACTCAGCACAAGGAGGGCAGAGGCAGGGGAACTCGCAAATCCTCAAAGCTCTGGGTCCAAGGCCCGGGGAATATGACAGCAGGACTGCCAGTAATAACACACAAAGCAAAGCTGCAGCTGTCATCTTTTTCCTTTACAAACACAACACGTGAGTCCGTGCAAGATTTCCACTGCCAGCTTGTAAAGAGTGCTAATAATTTATCAGCTAGCAGCAACATGACTCAGTTGTTAAAACCAGTTTCCACATCTGTCCGTCTGTACATGTGTCCAATAACTAAAATCAAGATACAATTAAGCTCACAAACACTTAACCACCATTATGGTAAATGAGTACTTCACTCCAAAACGGATGCTAATTGGACAACAGGCTTAAAACATCATTCAGTCACCAGCAAAACTGCTCGAATATGTTTGGAAAGCAGCTAAATGCTGAAAAAAGGCTTTGGCCTCTACCTCCCAGAGGCCAAAGCCTGAATTATATGTAACTTTATACCAAAATACAATTTAAACAGAAGTTTTGAGGGTTTTTTTATTTTTTATAAATTTTATTTTCAGTCACAGCAGCATGTTAATAACAAAACATTGAACATA